AACTTTGCTTCATACTGATTTTAACTGAAATCACGTTCTTCTGCACAGTCAGGCTTCTTAGTTTCACCCCAGTAAATGTCTTTGAAAGGATTCAGGTTCCTCTGTTCTCTACTGCTACTGCCATTTTCCCTAGTGCCATCTGAGATGACACTCAAACATTACTGTCCATAGAATGGAGATCCTCCAGGTTCCAAGCTGAGAGGTTCTCATATACTCTCCCTCAGGGAAGGTAAGTCTAGACTTCAGATCCTGAATAGGCAGGATCTAGCAGGTTGTATCCCTGTTCAACAGTCAGGTAGTTTCAAAACTGAAATCTTAGGTCATCATTAACCCATAAAAGTAAGGGGCCAAAATCTCAAGGGGGGGGGAATTGAGGCTAGATAGAAAATGGGGAAAATTGAGAGGACATAAGATGGGAAAGGAGCCCCTTGCTCTGGAGACTGGTTGAAGCCTCTTCGCTGAGAGCCAGGAATCTCAACAAAACTAAAATACATTGTGAATATTGCCTGCCACATAGAGACAATATTCTCTTTTCCATAGAGATATTGCAAGTAAGAATGTTAAAGGAGCAGAGGCTAGGGCTGGAGCTCAATGGTCGTGAACTTGCTTGGCATGCATTTGGCCACAGATTCTATCACTGGTACTGCACATACTAATAATAATAGTAATTAAAAAAGAATGCTAATATAGCAATGAAGGACTTGTGAAATGGCTCAGTGGGTAAAGGTACTTACTGACAAGAATGATGACCTGAGTGTGATCCCTGGGACCTACAAGGCAGAAGAAGAGAAGAACTGACTCCTACAAGTTGTCCTCTGACTCTGCATGAACTCAGTGTCACATACATACATGATGAATAAAAATTAAAAGGCAATAAATTATGCTTACAGCCTAATCACATATAACCTTTGGACCCAAGATATCTGTATGTGGGCACACAGGACAACTCTGTAGAACCAGTTCTCTGCGTCCATCTTTAGGTGGGTTCCAGGAATCGCACTCAGGTCTTCAGGCTCGTGCATCAGGCTCTTTCCTTGCAGTGCTGTCTCACTGGCTCAGGACCTTTGGATTAACCTTCCTTCTTCCACAGCTGTAACTCTCTGACTCTCACAAACAAGAGCATGAGCCCTGCTTACAGTGAAAACATGTCTGGACTTCTTTGTAACATAGATCTGGTAAAGATCCCATAGTCCCTTGTGACCTACATGTTTAATCCTACCAGCCTGTAACAGCCAGTACTTTCAGAAGCCACCCAGTGATCACGTTTACTATAAGAAAAAAAGAACATCTCTTAGAAGCCTTTTGAACAACAGAACTTCAGAAGCCACCAATGTTGTATCTGGGGCTAATCCTAAGACACTTAAACACTTAAGTCCCTCTAGAAGTCTGCACCTGTGTCTTTTGTCTACACTGCACACCCACACATAACTCTGTTAGCACCCTTCCTTCCTCCCTCCTTCCCTCCTCCCTCCCTTCCTTCCTTCTTTTTTTCTTTTCTTTTCTTTTTTTTTTTTTTTTTTTTTTTGAGATTTTTGGGATTTCTCTGTGTAACAGCTCTGGCTGTCCTAGAACTCAGTCTGTACACCAGGCTGGTCTCAAACTCCGAGATTCATCTGCCTCTACCTCCTAGGTAGGCGCTAGGATTAAAGGCATGCACCACCACCACCCATTTTAGCACCATTTCTTAATAAACTCCAATTTTGTTTCCTTGGGAAAAAGAAGAAGATATGATCTAGTTGTAAAACTGAATGGTGATTGAATTTGGTAATATCAAATTCTAACTTTGCAGGGGTAACAGTGGTATTGAGCGTTTGCTCTGAGTGCTCATGGTTTATGAAAGCCTCCTGAGACGTGCAGATGAAATCAAGCTGGTTTGTTTCAGAGTTACCCAGGCAGATGGAGAAGATGAAACAGGACCAGCCGTAACTCATAAACTGTCACAGCTGGGTGATGTGGAGTTCACCTTGCTTATCTCTTTCTGCTGCTGGGTATATTTGAAATTTTCTATATACAAATAATCTGGTCCTCAGATAATGCAGGTCCTGTATCCTGGGCCTCACAGTTCCCAATCAGAAGTCATGAGAAAGATTTTGAACTGTGCCATGTTAGTTCTACTTTATATTTTAAAACAAAGATCTTTCCGCTTTTTTGCCATCAGCAGGGAAATTCAGGAACTAGAAAGAAACAATGCCTTGCTTTTTCTTGGGAAAACAAGCTTTGGGATGTACATGGTCTCCTTCACGATCATGGGATGGGGCTCTGGATGGGGGTCCAACCTATAGAAGAGTGGAAACCCAGAGCAAAGGCAAGTGTTTACAGGAGCTGCTTTATAAGAGCTGCTCCCAGCACAGGCTCTCTGGCAAGGAGCACTTGGCAAGAGTCTGAAAGCTGGGGCTGGGTATGTAGTTCAGTAGAATGATTGATATGTAGCACAACCTAAACTAGGCATGGTGGCGCTTGCCTGCAATCCAGTACTGGAGAGATGAGGGCAGAGGATCAGAGGTACAAGGCCAGCCTGAGATATATGAGACATTGTCTCAGAAAAAAAAATAAAGTTGTGAAAGCTGAGACTCAGATGACAAATTGTAGCCTTCAGTGACCCTCCCAGGCAGAGAAAGACAGACACACAGAGACAGAAAAGGCAGACACACAGACATGAAAGAAAGAGAGGAGGAAGGGGAGGGGAGTGCAAGAAGCAGGGCTAAGGTTCTGGATATGCATCACCACAATTGGCTCCAATTCTTTTTAAAAGAAAAAAGCATGTGGGGGACTTCAAACAAGTAATCAAGTGCACTCAGAAAACTAAGCAGGAAACAGGTGGGAGAATTAGTAAACATGTGAGGACCTGCCATGTGCCAGGCACTGTAGGAAATGTGGGGATGAATGAGACACTCCTCCAAGGAGAATGTAGGAGAAAGGGGGAGGAAATAAACACCTGGGGAGAAGACTCCAAAGCTTCATGATCCAAGCCAGGTATCTGGTATTAAGCCAAAGTCTAACTTTGAACAAATCACTACATCTCAGTATTTCATCCACAACATACTTTCATCTCCTCCCCTTAGCTATGGCCAAGGTTATAGATTTTAAAAGGATCAAAACTACTAAAATAACCCAGGCTGCTGATGCTGAGAGAGGCTAGGGGTGGGGTAGGGTGTGAAAGGCTCTTTTAGACCCTGCAGCCGCGAGCGCTTGCAACTGGTTTGCCTGTGGACAGAAGCCAGGACTGGGGAGATGGTGTCTACACCCCAGGCAGCCCAGGGACATCAGCAACCTGTGCCTTCACTTTTGAAGCTGGTTCCCACCCGTCATCTTATCACACGCACTAGAGCAGCCTTGACATGAACAAGCCTCGGCGAGCTGTTCCAACTTGCCTGGTGCAGAGAGTGAAGGTGCTTAGTCCTGTAATCTTCATAAATATTGGATCTTGGGAGCCAGAAGGAACCTTCCAGAATACAGTATCCAACCCTGACATTTCTACCAAGGCTGGCAGCAGCTCCAGTAGGGAACATGACCTGGTGGTGGGACAGGCGTTGCTGCAGTCTTGTCTGGGTATTCTGTGTTCCCACCTTATTTTCTACTGAAGGCCTTGGCCACACTGACTCTGCTATCTTTAACATGCTTATTCCTCTCACCCCCAAATATCCAGCATGGCTCTAACTTCTAATAATGACTATGTAGGACACAATTTACAAAATTTCCTCCTTATGGCCTCCCAAGATCTCAGTTATTTGGGGGGAAATGTCTGCTAGTAGCCTGAAAATCCATTTAATTACCATGGAGGATAATCTTTTAAACACAGATTTACATTCTTTCAAGATTCTTCCTTGTGGGAGTACCATAGTTTTTAGGTGCTCTCAAGCTTCTTAATGCTGTGACCCTTTAATATGATTCCTCACATGTGCTGACCCCAATCACAAAATTATTTTTTGTTGCTACTTTGTAACTGCAATTTTGCTACTGTTATGGATCACAATGTGAATGTCTGTGTTTTCCGATGGTCTTAGGTGACACCTGTGAAAGGGTTGTTCCAGCCCAGGGGTCAGTGACCCACAGATCCAGAACTGCTGGTTTATCTGAACATGGGATGTTTTCATTCACAGAAGAGTGACTGTAGCCAATATTTAGCAGGGAGCCTGAGCCCTGGATCTAGGTCTTCATTTTAAAGCCTGTTTCTCTTCACAGAGGACTTGTCAATTTTATTACAATAATTAGATTGTAGTATTACCAGGCTTCACTCCAGTTAAAACCCTGCTGTACATGGCTTTGTGATCCCAAGCCTATAATTACTCAATATTTTTCAAGTATTCCTTTTGGAGTCTGCACTCTAGATGTGAGTATCAGGAGTCTATATCCCCAGGGTTTCCTATCAGGAACATCACACTGTGAATCCACCAGTCAAAAAGACTGGTTTGAGTTATGGTCAGTCAGATACCAATTACACCACCTGACACAGTTTGGCAGATTCACCATTTTCCCCCCACTGGAATACCTGCTTGGATGTCCCTATTGTATCCAACTTGGTGACCTCAAGATCTAGAGTAATTCCTGGCAATAATAGGTGCTCAACAAGCAGATGGCAAATTGGTGGATCATTAGTCTTCATGTAGGAAGGGTATATATGTATTTTGTCAACAGGGGGATAAAGTGGAGATTGGATGGGAGCCCTAGTTTCTGGCCTGGGGTACTTTTGAGATGTTTTCTGGGCCAGATTCTAGAAGCTGGTATCTCCAGGTCTTGAACAGTTTATCTCTAAAACCAGGACCAACTCTTCTCCCTCATAGAAGTTACAATGAGCAAAGGTGTCAAGTATTTCTTCTGATTCTTCCCACTCTCAGATGAAGTCCACAAGGATGCCAAGGGACCATACTTGCCTCATGTAGAATAGTGGTTGTCTATGGAAAGATATGGGAATGAAAAGGAACTTTTGTATAAACAGAGATTAGAAGGTGAGGAAATTTCCTTGTGGAAAACTGAGCTTGAGCTTGGATCTCTCCTTCTAGGTCCTACAGGGGAAAAGAACTGGTCCAAGAAATACCCATCGTGTGGGGGCCTCCTACAGTCCCCAATAGACCTACATAGTGACATCCTCCAATATGATGCCAGCCTCACACCCTTACAATTCCAAGGTTACAATGTGTCTGCTGAAAAGCTGTTAAACTTGACCAATGATGGTCATTCAGGTAAGAGGGAGACCTTAGAGACCCTGAAAGGCAAGTCTGAGACCCCTTTGACTCCCTGGCCTGACTCTTCCATCTGGCCTGGAGGGGTTCCCCAAGGTATTCCAGAGAAGAGGTTACCAGGAGTCTGTGAGGCATTCCTGACCTACTGTCTTATTTATGGTGTGTGTGTGTGTGTGCTACAGTTCTGGCTCTGGTGATTCTTCTGGGGCAGCACATCTCAGAAGCACATCTCTTGTGCGACAGAGAGGAAGAGATAGGTCTGATCCCATTGGTCCATTTGCTAAGCTGCCAGGGTGAGTTCTGGGTCAACACAAACTATTCAAGGCACCAGCAATTCAGTTGCTGAGGGTGGACACTCAGGGTTTAGAGTCAGAGAGACTGTAACTTTGCTATATACATACACACACACACACACACACACACACACACACACACACACACACACAGAGGCCAGATTTAGAGTGAGTCTTTCCAACTCTAATAATCTAATCAAGAAAATCCTCACAAGAGTGCCCAGCTGCTTAGGTTGTAGTTGATTCCAAATGCAATTAAGTTGACAACCAAGATTAGCCATCACAGATATTAATGAGCCGTCAGATTGGGTAAGAATTTTGACTTCCTTGAGTTGTCATTTGGAATACGGACTCATTGATTTGTTCAGTGACCACTAGAGATTGGGTACATCAATCTGTTGCATAGTAAATGCTTCTTAAATAGCAATTGTCACTGGAATGCTATTTTCCCACTTGGAAAGTTCTTCATTGAAGGTTCTATTATTATAGGCAGGAATTGGATACATGGATAAGTAAAGAAACAACCACCATTGGCACAGAGTTGATGCTTTCCAGGGGATCCATGAAGGTGCTTGTGGAGTTGCACTAGGAGAAAGAGGCCAGGTCTCTGGCCTTCAGGCATTATTGCTGTGGTCTATGCTTTGTTCCTGCAGCCACTTGTACCTGTGTAGGGGTTACCCGTCTGATTACTTTCTGTCAGGGTTGGTCTGGCCAGGGTTCAGCTGGCCAGGGCTCTGAAGGCTACTCCTCCATTCCTCACAGTGAGACTGAATCTGAACTCGGACATGTATATCCAGGGCCTCCAGCCCCACCGATACAGAGCAGAGCAGCTGCACTTTCACTGGGGGAACCGCAATGACCCCCATGGCTCTGAACACACTGTGAGTGGGAAGCACTTTGCTGCTGAGGTGAGTAAATGGCTAGTCTGGGAGAGAGTACCTGGCACTGACCCCCCTCTATGTGGCTATTCAGATAGAGCAGCCTTCATAGTCTTTGTCCCCACCACTCTCCTGTCAGTAGCATAGGAAGGTCTCACGCCCTGAATTTCTCCAGGTATCTTTATGCCTTCCTTTGCTGCAGCGTACTGAGTTTGCCTATTTCTTTTACTGTGTGATGCTGCTGAGAAGGCCAGCTTTGAAGATGGCATGGTGTGATGCATGTGGTCCTTTTCTAGACATCCTCCTGTCCTGTGCAGGTGAAGACCTTATAGCTTGCCTTGCTTAATCATTGCTTAATCATGCCCAGCTCATTGCTCCTCCATGTTTTACAGTCTTCACACAACATGCTGCTCACAAATGACTTTCCCACATCATCCTTTCTCTTCTTATCCATGAATTATACTTGGGAATATAAGGACACTGATCCAGGACCATTCTTGTAGTTTGGCATAGGTTAAGGGGTGACTGGCATTTAGATGTGCAGGGCATCACTGTGATCAGAGATTCCTCTAAAAATTGTTTGGGATGTGTGCACAGCACTGTGTCACCCTGAGATTCTAATCTAAAATACCAAAGGGAATGAGAAGAGAGGCAGAATGTTCTTTCTGTATCACAGGCATGTGATGGGGTGGGTTGATGAGGGGGCTTGAGTTCTTCTACTCCAAGTTCTAAGTTGAGGATGTGGCTCTGAGTGTATACAGGGAAATAAGATAGGAAGAGATAAATGCTGCTGGTCAGCCAGCAGATCCCATACTAAATAATGACACAACCATTCTCCCCTTTGTTCACAATTGCTGAACTGCTTAATGCCTCAACCTAATTATAGGTCTGTTACAAGGGTGGAGGGGATGTGATTCTGGCCCAGTAGAATGGTATGACTGGAGGCGCACATATTTCAGAGCAGACCCCCCCTTCCCTGGAGCTCAAGAACTGCAATTTCTTGCAAGCTAATTGCAATGTTGAGGCTTCCACTTCCCCCTGGGAGAATAAAGTGGCAGCTAGGATGTAGGTTTGGAGAGTTTATGCATTTAAAAATATTTTTGGGGTGCTGAGATGGCTCAGAAATTAAAAAAGCATATTGCTCTTAGAGAAGTCCTGATCTTGGTTTCCATAACCTATTTTGGGAGTTCACAACTATCTATAACTCTACCTTCATTGGCTCTGATGCCTTCTTATGGCCTCATCAGACACTGCATTCACATGCGTGTGCTTGTGTTGCACACACACACACACACACACACACAATTGTTTTAACATTTGAGACAAAATTTTACTATGTGGTCCTCACTGGCCTGGATCTTACTATGTAGACACAGAATTCACAGAAATCCTCCTGTTTCCATCTCTTGAGTGCTGTGATAGAAGGCATGTGCCACCATGCCTAGCTAAAATAAAAATAAAATCTTAAAAAAATAATAATTGTATTCTCTGCTCTTAAGATAATCATCAGACAAAGCCTGATTTTTAAAAAAAAAATCAGTGCAAGCCTAACTGGCAGATTCTATGCAGAGAATCTCTTTGAAATGGTGGTTCTATTGTATGGGGACACAGAAGACTCTTTCTAAAGCCCCTCACCAGGGAACAACTGTAGACCTAGATTAGTTTTTATTTTGGTTTTTATTTAGTCTGAATATGTTAAGAGCTGAAGCAAACCACAGGGTCAAAAGTCAAGCAATAACCATCTTGGGTAATTTACACAAATATAAGCCTACTGTTTTTCCAAGCCATTCTAAGATGGTATGGTCCATCCTTTATGGGAAAGATGGTGAAGCAAGAGCCCCAAAGGAAGCCTTCACAAAAGATAACTTACAAGAAATAACATGAAAGTCAGATGTGGTGGTGCATGCCTGTAATCCTACCACTCAAGAGGCTGAGACATGAGGATTTTAAGCCCAAGGCCACATTAAGCTTTTCAGTAAGATTCTGCCTACCACCCCCAAATGACCCTAGTTCTGTTCCCTTACCTGGCATTTCACAGCTATCTGTAACTCTAACCAATGCCCTTTTCTGACTTCCACTAGAACCAGGCATGGTCATGGTACACAGATACACATGTAGGCAAAAAAAGAAAACCAGCAAAAGGGCTATGTAATGACATTAAAAATAGACCTTATGCTGAATTTCTTTCAACAAAGGAGATGATAAGTGAACAGGAAAAAAATCAAGATAAAGGTTTCAATATGCAATAGTCTCAAGGGCCCAGAAGAAAAGTGAATGTATTTTACATTTAGATCTATCCACTATAAAGTTTTCTGAAGGTTAGGTGATACCATCTTTAGGATAAAAAGTCAGATTAAGCATCACCAGAATTTATATTAACATGGGTCATAATATGTGTCTATACTCTCTAAATCTAGGATTACTCAAAAACTCTTTACATTAATTTATGATCTGATTAAAAACTCCACCATTTAGAATTTTATTGTGGAGTATCATTTTGTTTTATACACTCTTAAAATCTGACTGTTAAACCCAGCTGATAAAAGCCATGCTGTGATTTTGTCAGCCTGAGGGATAAACATCAATGTCTTATGCATCATCAATTATGATTAAGTTGTGGCTGGCAGCTGTAGCCCTACCTGCACTGCTTTCAGATCAAGTACAGAGATGACAAACTACTGGAGACCACTTGGCCCCGGGCTCCAGAATAAAAATCAGAAGGGAGAAGAGCTCCAAAGCACCAAAATCTTCTCATGGGTAACATAAAAACCCATTTATTCATTCACTCATTCATTCTTGTCTGTTGTACCTTTGCTACTTTACAGGTGCCTTATCAGACACCAGGGATCTTATGAATTACTTAGCGTGTGCCCTGGTTTACAGGCTGGAGAGGACTGGGGAAAGGGGAAAGCTGGGGATAGATGCTAAGGGTGAGGGATCAATTCTGTGCGGGAGAGGAGGGACAGATGCCTATCTTCCTAGTTGGGTTCAAGTCTTCTGTAGAAACAAAAGGTTCCCGTGAGTCACTTTTCCCCTCCTGGATACTTCTCTCCTTTTGCAGCTGCACATTGTCCATTATAACTCAGACCTGTACCCTGACTTCAGCAGCGCCAGTGACAAGTCAGAAGGCCTCGCTGTCCTTGCTGTTCTCATTGAGGTACGAGGTTCAGAGGGCTTCTTTATATGAGGTCTGTAGCAGGGATGGTATCAGTACCAGGCATGTGTTCTGTGCACAGGAATTGGTAGTGAGTTGCTCCTGGATGGCCCTGCCTTGCCTCTAGAACAGGGCTGTTCCTCATAAGGCTCCTTCTGTCTTTTCTCACAGGAAGCCTCTTCTCTATTTAGGCAGCTGAAACAGATATAGCTTTCATGACACTGAAAATATGAGCCCCTTCCTCCAGTCCTGTTGCATGGTATGAGGTCACCTTGCTGGGGAGGGCCTGTGATTACAGGGATCCTCATGTGACACCACCAGATGCATCCATCACTGATAGAACACCTAGCACCCCAACTCCACTCTGGACTGAATTATTTAATTATTTAATCCATTCTGAATTGTTTGATATTGGGAAACAAGAATGGAGCCTGGTATGGTGGTGGATGCCTGTAATCCCAGCAGGTTGGAGGTCAAGACAAGAGGATTATTGAGAATTTGAAGTCAGGATGGGCTACATCAAGATTTTAGCTCAAAAATTGGGGATGATGGTAGGAAATGATCAGCTTGCTTTGTTTTCCCCAAATGAGGCAACATGTTCCTATTTTCCAGTATGCTTACTTATCTGGCGTGGCTTTTGTGAACTCAAAACTTCCTTAGGTTCTAGGTTAAATGAACTGGTGTAGTCTTTGGGCTCATATCAGATAACCAGGAATACACCCTATACACTGGGATACTCAAACCTGGTGTCTTAAACTGAAACTAGGTATCATTTGATGCCAAAGGTCAAGACCACTATACTAACACTTACCAATCTGGTGATGGGTCAGAATCTTCTTTGTAGGCAGGTCCTCAGGGAGAACCTCCAACCCTCTGATGGTAATTGTCAATGCAGGCTGAGCCTATCTTATTCTGTCCCAGCTCAACCTGCCTGGTCTCTGTTGCAGATAGGCTCCATCAATCCATCTTATGACAAGATCTTCAGTCATCTTCAACATGTGAAGTACAAAGGTGAGGGGCGCTTGGCTACTTAATTCATTCACTGTTACACAGGATGTGGTCACATCTGTGTCACCTTAAGAATGACAACAGCTTAGGGGTGGGTATTGTCTGTGTTCACCACATTGAGAACAGCAGGTTACTGGGCAGTGTTGTGACACTGGGTCATGTGGCCCAGAAAAGAGCACATTCACTGTGCCTGAATATGAGTATTTAAGCTCATTTACTACGCTTATGCCTCTCCTATCATGAGGTAGGCTGGTGCCCTCACTCCCAATATGTCTCTCCAGGCCAACAAGTACTCATCCCAGGCTTCAACATTGAAGAACTTCTGCCTGAGAGCCCTGGCGAATACTACCGCTATGAAGGGTCTCTGACTACACCTCCTTGTTATCCTACTGTGCTCTGGACAGTTTTCCGAAACCCTGTGCAGATTTCCCAGGATCAGGTAACAAGCCAGAGAATGTACAAATCGTGTTCCATGACATAAGCTGTTCTAACCAATGACTTGATTTCCTCTGAGTTCCATTAGCAGCTCTTCAGAAACTCTCCAGTGACCTTCCACTGAAATGCTATAGGAATTACAGACTAAGATCTAAGAGGAGTTAAACATCAAGCTAGGAAAATGGACACACTTCCCACAGTTCTTAAAGAGAGCTGCAAAGCTGAGTTTGCTAACACACCCATCAGTGGCTGGGTGGCATTTGCTGTCCAGGTGGGAGCACCTGGCAACTTTGGTGGCTCAGAATAAAGTTCATATCAGGTTAACACATGGGCCTTGGGATTGCAGTGGTGAGAGGGTCACTGCTCTTGGAGCCCACAATCTACAAGTGTAAGAATCATGTCATTAGCAACCACTCATGCTGGAAGTCAGGGTTAGAAGTTCTCAGGGTCACTTGACTTCTGAGTTGAGTCACTGATCATCCTGCTACCCCATAGCCTAAAAGCATGAAGAAAGGTGTAGAGAAGGTTGGATGGTGCTGTATAATAATCACCCCCACCCTAGTCATTCTAGTCAGCTCTCACTGTCAAACACCTGCTCTTTACTACAAGCTTCTGAACTGAGAAACCTTGATAAATGGCAGCTGGTGGGTGGACAGCAGAGGTGATGAGCTGAATCATAGGTGAAAAGCATGAGAAGCAGACATAGCCTAACCCAGAAGCTACCATAGAAACCAACTGTATCATATTCATGGGGGTGTGAAATGCCAGGGAGGCAGCAGTCACATCACCAGCTGGCCTCTTCCCTCTGTCTTTTATTCTGATTTGACTATTTAAAAAACAAGCCTAGCCCCCACTGCCTTAAGAGTTGAGTTCCAGTTCAGGGTCATGAAAGGAATGTGATCTTGGTGAGAGGCTAAGGAGTCATCCTCTTCAGTTTCCCTTCATTGGGGGCAGATTCTAGGGTCATGGACTTTGACAGCAGGAAGGACCCGGCCCAACTGAGCAGTAGCTAGCTAGTGAGACCCTCAGGATGGAGAAGTTGTTCTCTGGCTTTCCCATTGCTTTCAAATACCTACTGCCAAGCACCCCATTGGCTGATTCCAGAGGTTTCTTCCCAGTAAGCCAGGCCAGCGAGCATCATCTGCGCATGGGACCCATTTCCACTTTTCCCCTCAGCTGCTGGCTTTGGAGACAGCTCTGTATTTCACACACATGGATGATCCTTCCCCCAAAGAAATGGTCAACAACTTCCGGCAGGTCCAGAAGTTCGATGAGAAGCTGGTATATATCTCCTTCCGACAAGGTGAGGAGGAAGGTTCTGGGAAAAGGGAGAGGCAGCAGTGGGTTACCGGATGTCTGTTTCCTTGGTAGGAAACAGAGCCCTTAGGAGACTGGCTAAGAGTCCCCTGGCTGCCAAGGAACCAGAGCACGTCTAGGAGCTTTGGTGTAGGGGCTACAGTAGTCTCCCTTCAGTACTCTCCACTTCCTCAAGTCCTTGGAGAGAAGCCCAGGCTTTGAGGTACACAGGCCAGAGCCCTTAAGTGTGGGAGACACCCACAGGTGGTGATGAGATGTTCTTGGGGACTTCTCTGCTCTAAAGAATTATTCCTTATCATAAGACACATGGAACCCTTTGCATGAGGAGAGACTAACTTCCCACCTTAGACTTCCTTGTCATCAAGGGCTACATATGCCCTGCCCCAGGTCAAAGGAGGTGATTACATACTACAACTATCTATAGATGCTTCTTTGTAGGGTCAAGGGTATAACCCATGTTCATGGCCACATCTGTTCAAAGTCTCACAGAGCAGGACCCATTAGCAAGCAAGCACTAGGGTTCATAGCTTTTGTGTCTAATCTTGGAGTTTTCAAAAGCACCAGAAAACACATCCCAAGCCGAGTAAAGCTTAATACTTTGGTTTCAATTGCTAGGAACTCAATATTCCTTCTAAGTCTCTAAGGGTAATGGTCAGGACCTTTCACTTGCCCAATGAAAGTGGTGACGGCATAAGGAGAACTCTTGCCATCCACACCCATTTTCAAACCTCTGGGGTAACTTTCTCACCAGACCTTCCTGAGCTTTGCCAAATTTAGGGATCTTGGATTGTCAGAAGCAGTACAGATCTGCAGAAGTGCCCCTGCCACCTTCTTATGTCATTCATAGCTCAATAGGGTCAGGTGTTCATATTTTAAAGCAATACACAAACCTATCTGTTAGAGGAGCCATGCCCCTCATCTCACCTGATGGTTTGTTGTTGTTGTTATTGTCATTCCTTTACTATATGAGACTGTAATTGTCATCTGCTCAGTTTAGTCATAAGCCAATGAAGACTGCATTTCAAAGCCAGAAGGCATTAGAAATCTTCCCTTCTGAACTGACCCATCGGCATGGCCAGCATAACGTCTGTAGTCTTCTGTGGGTTATCCTCATGCCCAAGGGTTTGTGCTTTGTATTCTCTCTAGATACCACTCAATTAAGGTCATTCCCCTTCTCTTCAGTTTCTGAGTCTGAAATGCAATCTGGGAACAGGGTGGTCCTGAGAATGTGTAAGACAGTGACAACCCACTTGTTTTCTAGGGAATGATTTGAATGCCTGGGATGTTTTCATTTGTTCTCCACTATGGACACAGCATTTCCTGTCCCTTCTAAGTGGACTATGTAGTATGTAGAATTGAACAAAGGTACTTCAGTTCTCTGTTCTTGAGACAAGGTCTCCTGTATTTCAGGCTACCTTTCAACCTTGACTTTATGGTTCTCCTGCCTCAGCCTCTCAAGAGTTTAGAGTTATAGACATGAGGCATCATACACTGTATGGAGCTACTTCAGGTCTTACATTTAAAAGCCTAAAGATGAGGACCATAGTCCTCAGGCAAGATTTTGCTTACAGCTCAAGGGCTGTAAGAGCTGCTCTCTGAGCTAGTCTGTATATGTACCTGGAAAGAGGGTAACAGATACTTTCCCTGAAGTCAGGAGACCTCAGTTCAAGGCATTGCTTGTTTTCTCCTGACTGTGTGATGTGAACAAAGCACACCCTTTTTTTGGCCTTGGTTTCCTTGGCCACAGGATGCTAGGCTGGAGACCTGCTCTGACGTACTTTCAGTGCCAATATATTATGACTCAAAATGGACACTAATAACCGCCATTCCTAACTTTACATTGCAGGGTCAGTGTTTGGGGGCAGTTACAGAGGATCAGAAGAAGCCGTGCAGGAATTTGATTATGACAACTAAAAGTAATCCCCACTTGTACCGATGGACTATGGCATTGGCACTAATTAGCCATCTCCTTAGATGGGCTCAGGTCTAAGTAGCTGCTTGTAGACTGGACCATACAGTCAGCTTTGTAGCTGAGTGCTTTGGTAGATCCTTCAAGTCTGGCTGGAGTAGCTTGAGAAGGCTCTAGGCAGAAGCTTGAAGACTAATCCTTGGCTTAGGACATCAAGATCAAAGCCCCAAAGCAGCTTTGCCACAGACTCTCCTGCACAGCTTGGTCAGAGATGCTGCTTCCGTGAGGCTTGGCTCAGCTTTCTCCTTGGAGAATCTGTAGCAGTTCAAGGCAAATTTGTTCACTTAGACTGATTATAGAAACTTGGCAAAAGTACCCCTTTTTCTCATACTCCAAAGCACAGTCAGTAAACAAAGCTACCTCCTAAGGCAAGATGAAGAAGCAGCCCCCAGGAAGCTCAGCTCTTACCCCCACACTGTCCATGCGTGCCTGAATTCACAAGGGCTTCTAACAGCCAACCTGGGGCAGGTCTGAATAACATGCAATTTCAGGTTTATAGCATGAGCCTGTTTGTCCACACAACCCCTGAGTGATTTGGGTTCAGGTCTTTGCAGGTTCTTCCATGGAGGCCCATTTATAATTAGGGTCTGTTTCATACCGATTCCTTTGGAAGTTAAAGAGCTAAGGAATCCAAACATTATTCCAGGAAAAGAAAGTAAAAACAAAACAAACCAACCAAACAACAAAAACAAAACAAAACAAAAACAAAAAAAACAAAAAATTGTAGGATATTGGTCAGTGACTTTGTAGGCTTAGGACTAGTTTTTATCCCCATTAGTATAGGATTCTAAAGTTGAATATCACATGCTCTAATATTTATTTTAATTACATTTATATTTTTATTTTATATGCATATCGGTATTTTGTCTGCATGTATGTCTGTATACCATGTACATGCCTAGTGCCCCAGGAGATCAGAATAGGATGTTGGAATCCATGGAACTATAGTTACAGGCAGTTGTAGGTGTTGGGAATCATACTCAACTCCTCAGGAAAATCAACCAGTGTTCTTAACCATGGAGCCATCACTAGTCTTTATTGTATTATATCATGAAAGCCTGAGTCCTGTGATGATGATCCCAAACAAACTAACCCAAGAAAAGCCTTGTTCCCATTAGTAAGTAAATGCCCTTCTTATATAATTCGGTAAGGCTAAGAGGAGTGGCAAGAGAAACAAACCTGGTCTTCCTTTGGGAAAGTCTACAGACCCCTTCATCTGAGCACCTTTCTGCAGGGCCCTCAGCATCCCTTGTCTCCTTTCTATCTGTGTGAGGCTTTCTCACTTGGTGGCCATTTTGATGGCTTAAAGTTCCTACTCCAGATGGAAAACTATAGGTCATGCAGAGACTCTGGAAAATAGTCTCTTCCAAGGAAGACTTGAGCTTGCTTTCAAGGTGGGGTGATAGAGAGAAGACTCACTTGAAGCCAATTCAGATTTCCTGAGAGCCAGGCACCCTAAGGGAGGATGCTGAAAAGAGTACAGGCCAGGGCCCAGGAGTAGGTTAATTTCTTCCCAGTCAGTGACACCAACTCTGAGTCCAAATGGTGATAGATAGTAAGGCAAGGGTACCTAGGTACTAACATTGTCTAGGTTCTTTTAAGCATGTTAGGGGCAAGGAAACTGGAGAGACACAATGAGGCCAAAAAGTTTCTATAATCATGTCTCTTGCTCTGAGGAACTGCATGTTACTCACTAGGGATCTAGAGCCAGCTGAGGGGCATTTAGATGAGTGAGTGTGCTGTACTGTTGAGCTTGCTGGCCGTTGAGGGGGAGGGCTCTAACCAATGGTCATTTGCAGAGTAACATAATTAGATCCTGCTTATCCTGGAGAGACCTGCATAGTTTTAGAAGAACTTTCAAAAGAGAGACATTTTACCGAGCTAAGATGGCTAATAATTTTTTTTTTTTTGAGACTACAACTTATATGCCATGGTATTGACCTTGTGTTTCTTCAAGTTTCTATTTATAAATAAAAACTATTAGATGGAAGAGTATCATCAATTCTTCCAAGGCATCCAGTGACAAATCAGAGAAGTTCCTACCTTCAAATTCCTAGACCTGGAACATGCTGCCTATGAGAACAGTCCATGCTTTGGCAGGACTTTGAAATAAGAGATTGCATCACACAAGCAAACAGAATTGCAAGTGGAACTAGGGAATACTAGACAGTCTGAACTGTCAGCAGCAATCATCAAATGTGCTAAGGAGCGAAGTCCCAGACCCCTTAACACACCATGAGTTTTCTTAGCATGGCTTTACTGTGCTTTATGGAGCAGAGACAAACAAACAAACACCAACCCCCCACCCCAAGCATTCCATCTTACTCCTGATGACAAGCCCCTGACACAGAGCAGGATGAGTTCAGGAACAACAGCTGGGAAAGGGGCCAGGCAGAAGGCTGGACCCATTCCTGTGAGGCCCCTGGCTGGCCCTCCCATGTCAGCTCTTGGCCCCACCCCTGTCCTCTCAGCCTCAGCCCCTCCACCCCCCACACGGCAGGGCGTCCTAAAAAAGGGAAGGCACATACACTATTCCTCTTGTCCAGAATGGCTCTCTCCCATTCACAAAGTTCTTTTTTTTTTTTTTTTTTAAATTTACTTATTATGTATAGTGCAGTATGTATGCCTGCACACCAGAAGAGGGCACCAGATACCAGATTTCATCATAAATAGTTGTGAGCCATCATGTGGTTGCTAGGAATTGAACTCAGAACCTCTGGAAGAACAGCCAGTGCTCTTAACCTCTGAGACATCTCTCCAGCCCCCACAAAGTTCTTTTGAGACTCAACTTTAGTCACACTCTCTCAGAAGCCCTCCCTACTACCTTAGAGCTACCTTTTTCATCTGACTTATTCATGTGTATAGTATAGTATGTGCCATATAGCCAATATGCCAACTATATTACTACATTTATTATAATACAGTAAAACCAGAGGGTGGGGGAGAACATTATACAGTATATACTTACATCCTTTTAGAAAGGATGCCTGATTCTTAGGATCATTCATTCTTTATTCCTGGCCCCATGCCCAGTGCATGCTATCAGCAGAGTGGCAGGCATGCTTGCAATCTGGGAGAAAAAGCCAGAAAAAGCCTTCAGTTTCTATCATAGTTTTATAAGTCAGCTACTTTTTAATCTGTCTAGTGGTACCTTCTTGGCAAACTTCTTTGTAGAAGTTATCCTCTCACTAGATTGCATAGGGCTGATGAAAAATAGGCCTGGTTAAAAGTATCTGCCAAAGACAGTAATGTGTGCTTGGTCACTGAGGGCATTTTCCTAAGCAAAGTACAATTTGAAGGAACACTATCACTGCACTCGCTTGACTCTATGGCTTTTAACATCACATGCTAAGGGGAACTTGTTATCATTCTCAGCCAATGTCATGTTCTTAAGCAGTCAAACCCCTGGTAAACCTAAACTCTCCTGGCTTCTTTTGTAAGACTGGAGACCATTGAAGACTGGCCTATGCATATATCACCCCTACAGAACATGTTGTCTATGAGGACAGTCCATGCTTTGGCAGGACTTTGAAATAAGAGAATGCATCCCACAATCAAACATAATTGAAAGTGGAACTAGAGAATACTAGACTGTTGTTCCAGGTTCTCCAAGATGTATAAATGAGTGTTTGCTCTTCGGGCTGGACTTGTTTGTGTTTGTACTTGAGGCTTCAGAGCACCTCAAGAGCAGTTAACCAGCATCCTTGGGGCAGCCAGACGCCAGTGGAGAAGATACAGCTCCTGAACCAGCTAGTCCAGGTAGCAAGGCCTTTGTGTCAAGCAGTTCCTGACCTTCTCCAGGTGTCCTCTCTTCCTGGACAATGCTGCTGCCTGTACCTATGCGCAACTTCCTTTTGTGTGTCACATTGCCCCATCTCTGCTCACTCTGGCTGGCACCCACATGCTCTATGGAGGCACTGAGTCAGCAATACTCCCCCATCTTCTCAGCTTGAGTTATCTATCTCAGGAGTCTTTTCTGCTAAGTTATCGTCAGCTGGCTGTCATGGGTCACCTCTGAGAGCAAGCCTGTCTCCATTTCCTCATCTGTCTCATCATTTTTTCCTTAGGAATCTCATGCCAATGTCCTCTTTGGAAACAAACAATTTCTTTGTTTAAGCTGAACATACCTTCTCCAGCTCTGTCCACCCTACACCATCTTTGATGCCAGTACTCTAATTGTCCAGAAACTAGTCTCACCTGGATGAGCCTCTGCTGAGAAATACTTGCCTTCTTTTTCTTGCTTCAGTTCTCAAATTATCTCCACATTTCTCCCTATACCCAGAAAATCTCATTGCTAGCTGCCTGCCTCTTTAGTTAGCAGACTCATTGGACCTATCTTCAGTGGGCCTCAATCCCTCTGAGCAAAGTCTTTTTCTGTAGACCTTGGATGGTATGACTAAATTGGTAAGATGGCATTTTAACCACATCTTCCTGCCTTGGGCATCATAGAGAGGTAGAACTTTTATGATGAGACCCTTGCCAGTTTTTCCTTCCTTAACACCTTAGTTGCTTTGCGTTTTTTTGTTTTTTGTTTTTTGTTTTTTTTTTTTTTTTTTTTTTTTTTGTTTTTTTTTTCAACATCAAAGTCTTATCTGGAAATTCACTTATTCCAGTCTCTGAACTTTCTCTGTCTTCTCTGCTATTTGTGCTCACATCCTTGTTCCAAGGAAAGACAATTTAATCCCTGACAGAGTCCACCAAGGAGTGAAAAACTTGGGTTGGAGCACTGAATTCAATTATGCCATTGTCAAAATCCTGCAGAGCAAGCAAGGAATGCTGGACTATTCCTCCTGAGAAGTCACCAAGCTGGACCATTCTGGAGAAAAGTATCACTCTAGAGCCTAGATTGCCAGCAATCCAAGACCACAGTACACAGATAACTCCTTTAGCCATGTGGTAGAAGTGCTCCGCTGTTTGGGCCCATGTGGCTCTCACATGTTTATGGTGACTGTGAAAGACATGGCCCAACTTGAACAACCTAGCTAGGTGGTTTGTGAGTGACAGGCTTATGTGGCTAGAACAGCACTATGAGCTTCTGGGCTTGAGGAACAAAAGTGAGTTTCATCAAAGGGCTAGAGAAGAAACACCCAGAGCTTGTTTAAGATAGAAATGACCTGGGTACTATAAAACAAAACAAAACCAAATAACAGCAAACTCAAATACTAAGTTGTACTGTTCTGGGGGCCCAGGCTAGAGGGAGCACACAGTACACACTGGAGAAGCATGAAATTCTCCCTGGGTGGGAACCTGTCCTACATACATCCTGAGCCATACACTGTTCCCTGTGTTCAGTTTACCAGGGAGGCTTGGGCAGGCAATCTGACCAAGGGAGCTACTTAAGAGCTATAAACTACTGGTGGTAGCCAGTCATAACAGGAACAGTCCACCTATCCTTGGGGACACCCTCCTCACATCTACCCAGTTTACTCTCACAGCAGCCAGGGCCACTCAGGTTCAGGCTTGTCTCAGACGCTTGGCAGGCTTGATGTGAAATTGCAGGACAGTAGAGAGGTGGGTACAGGTATTATGGCTCCTGGGGAATCAGCCAGATTCTGGCCACAGGATAGGAGAAGGCAGATGAGCAAAACCTTACCCTGCAGTCTCAGGCCTTGTGCCTCAGTATGTTGAAAGCCCCAAGGGTGAATTATGACCCTTGGCTGACACCTCACACTTGGACACTTGGCCTGGGCTCACCTAGAGTACTGGCTTCTATGGTGAGCTTTACAGGTGCAGGCTATCTCTGTGTGTCTGACTGGGTTACCACAGTCTGACAAACTCAAGCTTCTAGTGTGAATTAGAAAAAAAACATCACAAATAGACAGCAAAGCAGGCACACACACACACATACACACAGACAAAGTTTCTAAAAATTACCTGAGAAAAGTTTGTATGTAAACAAATTTCTTTAGATGGAGGACCTGGCTGAGAGAAAAGAGGAAGCAGGCTATGAGCTGCTCAGGGAAGGTGTTGTGATTAGGTTCCTCTGTTTATTCAGAAAGATGCAGTCACAGGTGACTGTGCCCTTGGAGATCCCTAGTAGGCTGTGGGGTTTTACCTTTGATGGCTGGGCCCCACTGAAGAACTCTAAACTCATCCTACTTATTTCTAACAGTGACTCGTGGGTAGAAGTCATAATACCCCAGTCTCATGAAGTAGAGATAATAGAGTGGTACAGTAGAGGAGTTTGTCCAGTAGAGCCAAGCAGAAATGGAAAAGAAAGAACCAAACCATGATGTTAGAGTAGGTGGGGGTAGGGAGAAGGCTGGTGGCAGGTGGCTGACTGAGAAAGACAGGTAACAGAGAGATAGAAAACCTACCAAAGTAGACTGGTTCTTATCCATGTTTAAAAACTGAAGTCTTGCTGGAGCAAAGAAAGTGACAGTGCTAAAGGAACAGGGGATGGAGGAAAAAACGGTATAGATCCCCAAGTGGGAATTTCCCTTGCCCCAGCAACCTAAGACAGGGGTATTTCTAAAATCTGAATAAGCCCTGGAATACCAACCAACAATGAAAGAGTTGCATGTTATGCACTGGTCAGATCCATCATGGTCTGGCTCCAGATTAACTTCCAATCTTTTCTCCCCTGTTTGAAGTAGGACTCATTACCGACACAGGACTGAGTTTGGGTATGTGGTCTCCTGAGTGTGCATGTTACAGTTGGGTGATCCCATGATTTTCAGTGTGATCTGGGCCTGTGATACTTTCAGCCCATCTTCTCTGCTTCTCTGCTGTCGCTTTGGCTTCTGGTATCCCTCAAGCTGCTCTCTAATTAAAAAATGAACTGCCAATCAAATGTTGCTCTAATGAAAAGATTGAATCACTCTGTGGTGTTTATGCAAAGATCCTATTTAAGACATTCTGTTGTTTAACATTGGAGAGCATAGATTGCCTCAAAACATACCTAAACTTAAGGTCAGGAGGCTGATCACATGAACTTGACCATGGTGTTGGTTATTTGGGACTGCAATTAAAATTAGGGGCAACATTTATAGAATCATCCCAAGAGACCTTCCATCCAGTAAGCAAAAGCAGACTGAGATCTTACTCTGTAGCACAGGGTTTCTCATAGTGTGGTTCACAGACCACAAGAATCAGCATCAACATTGGCTGGAGATGTTTGAAAATAAAATGCAGATTCCTGGGTCCCAGGTCTAGTAGACCAAACCAAGTCTCTGAAGGCTGACCTTTTGTAAAGTCTACATTGTAAACATGATTCTCAGATGATCCTAACTTGTGCAAGTTTGAGAACCCCTGTTGGAAAACCACTGCAGTATGTAGATGCCCTTCTAAATTCTCCAGCCAGTCAGTCCCACAAAGCCAGAGGCTGGAATCTTAGAAGAGAGGTGGGGAAATCACAGTGTTCTGAGGACAACTGTAGAGTGAGGACATAATTTCACAGCCATGTACTATGGGATCAGATGAGGAAAAGGAAGGAATGTGACATGTGCTCCCTGCCTCCTCACCAGGTATCATCCTTTCAGTGGCCCTGGCTGGTGTTCTTGGCATCTCTATTGTTCTGGCAGTGTCTATTTGGCTCTTCAGAAGGAAGAAGAGGTGAGCTGGTTTGGATTCAGAATTCCCATTCTGAATGTGCCGCTTATGTGCCCATGGTGATTGGCTATCTGGCGAGACAACTTTGGAGAAGGAAGAGCCCCTGTTGTGTAACCCACACTGTCCTAGGAGTGCTGCTCTCCAAATACTAGTGTCTAGGTCCTCACATGAAACGTTTAAGGGTTACTGTGCTCAGGTGTGGAGGTGACTCTACCAGCCTTATGCCATTACTAGTTAGCCATGAGGCATTAGACAAGTCTTCTGACTTGTGTTTGTCTTTGCACCAAGAAAAATTAAGAAAAACCTGATCTCTCACTCATATTAGCTATAAATACCTTTGCCTGTAGTTTTATTGCCATGCTTGGCTTTTCCTAGGACAATTTATTTTTCTTGGTATGGAAAATAAGGTTTCCGATTATGGCATCAGAAGTTTGAAGTGGGGGTAATAACAACACCTGCTTCAGAATTCAGGTCTGGTATGATCAGGCCTTGAAAACAGAAAAGAAGTAGGTTCTGTTTTAGTTAATGTTTGGTGTGACACCATTTCCTCCCAAGACCAACAGACCTGGGAAAGATCCCCCAGAGAGGAATCTAGACTTTTAAAACTCCTTCCATACCCGAGCCAGGCTGCTCTCTGGCTCCCTCTCTCTCCTTTTTTTGACTAACAAAGACTTGTGTTCTTATTGTTCCTGTAGCAAAAAAGGTGGCAACAAGGGAGTCATTTATAAACCAGCCATCAAGAAGGAGACTGAGGTCCATGCCTGAGGTCTCTGGCACTCTCAAACATCCAAGGAAGGACCTTGATTTGGACACTACATACTTTGGCTCTCTGGACACTTGAAATACCTCAAGGTGTTCTCTGAAGCTCAACTGTAACCCCTTCCCCAGACTCTTTTGAGGCTTCTGGCTGGGCCTCCCCTGTTCTGCTGTCACAGCCCCCCAGGGTGACCAGTGAGTGGGATGAACTGAACTAGGGGGCAGGAGCTTTCAGTGGATTGCTCTAGCTACTTGAGATGGCTAAAGATTCTGGATTCTGGCTCACAGACCTAACCTGCTGATGGACTATTATGGTTTGGAAAACACTTCCATCCTGGGTTCATCTTGATACACTCCCAGAGCCTTGGACATCCTAGTTATCCTCTAAACTACAAACTAGAGCATATACCCTTTGCTCAGGTGATACTTTTGAACCTCAGCTTCCTTAGGGAGGAGCTATCTTCCTTGGGTTTCCTTCTGCCCTGACAGACCCTCTAGCCTGACTTCATGCCTATTGAATTGAGACAGAAAGCATCAGAAAACAATGAAAAACTTATATAGTAGGGCATTTCCACAGTCCTGTCTTTTGGGTTAGAGACATTGACCAGAACTTGCGGCAATGCAGGCCAAAGTTCTAGTTCTTAGTGGGGATAAAGAAGACCAGGATAAAAAGAAACAGAGGGGCTGGGAAGGCATGCACTGTCCAGCAGTCTTCCTTTGGAGTCAGAACCAGAATCAAGATACAGTATAAGAGAAACTGAGTCTAAGTTACGGCCTACTTAGCTCTAGGAGGGCAGGTGTGCTTTACACTCCATTCTATTGCTGGAAAACAAGTTGCTTTCTCTTTCCTGCAGTAGCTGTGGCTCATGGAATTGAATCCATGGAAAACAGACAGAAGCAACACTACTCTACAGCTTTGTCTCTTTTGTCCAAATGTCAGTTCTACCTTGTCTGATATCCCTACACCTCTGTCTGTGGGCAAGTCTAAATGGTGTTTAGTCACAATGTATTTTCATACTATCAAAGCAGGAAGCTATCTTCACAGTCAAACCAGGTCCTGGTATTTAAATACCAAAATCAACAAAATGTTCCCAAGATTCTACATATTCTCCCCCGTCAGTCACACAGTTTCTGAGAATACTCCATCTTCATGTTCTTCCCACAGAGGTGAGACCCTGTGGAAAGCAGTCAGCTCCATGAGCCTCAGCCACCAGCCCCTAATTGCATTTTACAGGGAGTTCTCCTATTTAATCTCATTTTGACAGCATAGAATGTCCTCTTGAAGCACAAGGTTTTTGTTTTGTTTTGTTTTTGTATCTTTTCCCTTCTACTCTTCCTCTGACTTGATAAAAATCTTTTTCTACCATTATAACTTTACTTGGTGGCAATCCCTATCTCTTTGTAGTATATTTTACTGAACAAGGTTACAGGTGAACCAAGGGAGGCTTGGCTGTGTGTGCAGTGTATGCGCATGCACACAAGATCTCTGACAGTCTTGGACTCTGGGTGCCACCATAACCTTGCAACTGACATGCCTGATGGTATCACCACAGTAAGGACAACTCTCAAGAAGAAGCAACACAATTCAGGGGGCCAGAACTGTCAGCCAGATACTAGCATAAAGCACTCCAGGACAGCAAGACTGTCTCAACTATATACCAACAAGTTACATGAGAGCACGGCAAGATCATCATACCTGGCCTGAGGACCAAAAGGAAATGGCATTTCTCCTTCCCTCTTCCCATTCAGCATGGTCCAGACATTCGGTCTTCGTTCAACCCTCATGACTGAGACGAAACAAAGCCGGGGAGGCAGAAAGAATGCTCCAAGAATCAGTGCTGTCAACCTTTAACTCTTGAAGATGCAGCTTTCTCCATATTCTCAAACACTCTGGATACCTGGCCACCACTGAGGGAAACCGGTCCTGTGGTGTGTGATGCACAGCTCACCTTACACTCCTTAACTCGGCTGTGTGAGGTGTAAGGTGGGTGCCTAGGAGAGTCTGGGCGGGCACAGGGCTGGGCACATGGCAGATGAAGAAGACCAACACAAGGCATGGGCGGGTGGGGCCATGCATTGGGGACACAGGAGAGGCACTGGTTTCTGTAGTCTTTCCTCTGCCTCTAACAGGAGAATCCAAGCCTCACTGTTCTGTACCCATGGCTTTAATAGGCATTCTAGAATTTGCTGCACTTACTGTTTTAATCATATGTCTATTCCTCTTCCTCTCAATACTCTTTGAAGGCCTCCCAATCGGCCCTGAGGAAGTACCAGGGGTGATAGTATCCCTGGCTCCCTGTGCCTCTCATCCCATAGGCCACTGTGACGATGGCCTGTTTAGCACTTCTATATTTATTGTACCAATGATTGTAATGATGACATACACTGAAAATATAAGAAATTACAATAAAAATATTTTTCACATCAGACTGATTTTTTTCCCCCAAAAGTAAAGTAAGAGTGGATGAAGCATTTCTACTGGTGATGAGTAACTAATGAGAACAAATAGTCTTGTCTTTTGCATCTAGCTCTTAGAATCTGGTTAAAAAAATATACAGATGGACTTAATGTCTCAGGATGGAGGGGTATGAAGATTTATGATGTGTGTAGCTCTGAGTCAGGTAGCTGTTTATTAGTGAGGCTGGAAAATCCAGAGTAATTAGGGGAGGGTTTAGGAGAGAAACAGGGTATAAGCTGAGCCTTGAAGAACAAGTCACAGGATGCCTGCTTTTGCAGCCATTGAGAGGCTAAGACAGAAGCATCGGGAGGCCAAAGGCCAGTGACTGGAGAGATGGCTAAACAGTTAAGAGTATGTGATGCTCTTGCAGAGAACTGAGGTTTGGTTGATACCCATGTCCAGTTGCTTACAATCATTTGTGACTCCAGGTCCAAGGTCAACACCTCTTATGGCTTTTGGGTACCCATATCCATATTAGATTTGAACAGACAGATGGAAAAAGAGGAGGTATCCCAAACTAAAAGGCTACGACTATAGAGAATAGGTCTCTTCTTACCCTGAGAATACTGCAATCAATAGATGGATGGATGGCCTTCTTATTTTAAATCCTTTCTCAAAACATGCTACCACCTCCAAATAACCTTTTGTCTAAATCCAGATTTTACATACTGCTTTGCTAAAGAGGAGGTGCTGTTACAATAGGTACTATCATTGTTTGTGTTAGTTATTTAGAGAAGCCTCTAATTTTCACTCTGTAACAGTGAACTATCCATGAATAACATGCTCTAGGAGGTGACACAGCAGTTGACCCAGCTTTGTATTAGAAACATTACAAACCAGGGGTATTGATGGTTGCTTTATTGAGAACCAAGGCATTCTCCAACTCTCCACCTTGACATTCTAACAGGTATTATAGGCACTTGCAGGGATGCAGATGTGTGGGGAGCAAGACACAGAGCTCCTGAAAAGCTCATGCTTTGGATTTGCTTTCATGCCTCTAGGCAGGAAGCTAGGAAGACACTTCTGAATCAGGAAGTGAGTAACTCCTCTCTCCACAGCTTTCCTCCCCATTCTATAAAATCAACACTCATCTGGGTTAAGCCAGGAAAGCATGGAGGTGGGAGCTATCAGTGGTATAAAGCATTCAATCCCTGCTCCCTCAGCTTGACCATTCTCCCCTCCAAATACAGCTAAAACTACCTAAGTTGGATCTTGAAGAAAAAGTCACAGGATCCTTGTGTTCCTGACCCTTGGGAGGCTGAGGTAAGGCGGATCAAGAGTTCAAGAACAGCCTTGACTACATAATAAAGCCCCATCTTGAAAAAAAAAAAAGATTTGAACAGATGGCTGAAAGGAGGCATCCCAAACCAAAGGACTATAAATTTAGCATCCAATAGAGATAAAATATAATGTCACACCCACAGCACCTTTTAGACTTTCTAGAATCCACATAAAAAGGGATCAAGAAACCAGTGAAATTTTAATAATGTCATATAATCCAATGGACCTAAGATAGTGTCTTTCCAATATGTAATCAGCACTTAAATGGGGTATTTCAATTATACTATCATCCACTTTAAAAATCTGTTGTATATTTTACATGTCACCACATTTTACTGCACAAGGAGGGGCAGGTCTAGAGGACCAACTTGGGGTTAGAAGATTGGAGATGGGAGACAGAGTATAGAGGCCACCAGAGAAGGAAGAAGACAGGAGGAAGATGAAAATCAGGCATGGTGAGCATATTAGCACCAGACCTTGTACTTGGTTCCTCCTCTCCTCCTATCTCTTCCTTTAGTATTAGCAGCTTCTCAGTCCTCCTGACCCTGGACACTGCCTGGAGGGTCCAGGTGCTGAGGAGTGACTTGGACTTAGGGTGCTTTAGCCTAACTCCCACTGTAGCTGGTGCCTGATTGTCCTCAGTAGAACCTCTTCCCATTTCCTAGGTCCTTTCATCTACAAGGTATTTCTAGACTTTGGGTGCCAGTCAGGCTGAAGAGGCTAGGTACTGGCAGAGTCATGCACACATGAACTCTGTCGCTTCCATTGTTCACTATGGATCTACTGCGTGTTAGAGAGTGGTGCTCCTTCAGGGACTCACAGATCTCACAAGGCCCACACCCAGAAACAATGGAGACCTCTGGGAAATCTGCACAATCCTTAGTCACCATTTGCAGGCGAGATCTGGATATGGCCACATTGAGCTGCCATCCACTCTTAAGGTCACCCAGACAGGGGTTCACAGTGGCTCTTACGATTCAGATTTAACTGTTGCAATGTTGCAGGGAGATGTGAGGCTGGATGCCATGGGGAGAACCCTGCTCCACTTATGCCCCTTCATTATATAATAATTCGGCACAGATAAGAGCCAAAGTGCTTTACTGCACTGAATGATTCACCATAAAAGTATTTGTCATCAGTTGACATACATTTGACTGTATCATTATGACTGTAGGTCAATTAGCAATTTGGTATTTACTTGAATAGCTTGACTGTTTCAATGTACTTTTGTCCCATGATGCAATCATCCAGGTAAAGGTGGAACACTGCCTCCATCTCCTAAGTAGGAAACAAGTATCTGGCTAGCTAAAGAGCATCATAGTCTTCAGAATGAGGGTCTCTTCCACAGATCACATTAAAACATCTTTTTAAAAGTATTTCATTTCTTTTTCTTTCTTTCCCTCTTTGTGTCTGTCTGTCTGTCTGTCTGTCTGTCTGTCTCTCTCTCTCTCTCTCTCTCTCTCTGTGTGTGTGTGTGTGTGTGTGTGTGTGTGGTATGAACATGTGTGCTCAGGCAGCTGCCACAGTGTACTTACAGAAATCAGAGAACAACTTGTAGAAGTAATTTTTCTCCTTCCATTATATGGGT